CTTTCCCTTCACCCCCACACACATAATGCCTGAGATGCGGTGAGGACATTTCTCTTGTCACTCAGGCCTGGTGCATATCAGGGCAGAAATTGCCTCACTTTAACACTGGGGCTCAGTAAAACAATGCTATAAAAGCAAGCTAGATTCAAACACAACTATTATTTATTGTTTAGTTATAGTAGGAACTTTAACTGGGTTTCTGCATACCATCTCTGGGAACCTAACCACTATTGTAATTTTGCTTTATGGGTGAATGTGTTTTGAATTCTGAGCAACTGATTTATGAACTTTAACAATATAATAAACATACCTAAGGGAATTACGTGTACATAGAAAAGTTATTTTTCTCTGCATCACTTTCTGTTCTCAAATCCAGATGGCTCTTTCTTATTTTAAGTCAGATTGAGGTATTTCTAATCGAGCACGTACATACAACAAGTTGTCATTTTACCTGGACTCGAAATGTTGGGACGTGCATTCCATGTCTAGAGAAATCCTTATAGCCATAACTAGTATCCTCAAAGTGACGAGATACATCTCTTGCTGGTGTAACTTCTTCATCATCTGAAATAATTTTTAAAAAAAAACACTGAAAGCCTTTCAAAAACAGGATGCTAGTTAAAATTCATTTTACCTATAACAAGTAAAAACAGGATTACCCTTTCTCTGACACTGAGTAACCAATATCAACTGAAATAAAGTCTTAAAACTATAAAGAGAAATAGCCTACTTACTAGTAAATGGAATATAATACAAGTAGATTCTGTTATTAAAAAAATACTCATGGTTGAATTTTCTATGTTTTTCATTCCTCTCTTTCACAGATCCTCTCTCCCTCTGTGTCCCCACTGTAGTTGATAGATACTAGGTTCTATTGAAAAGTATGTACTCCAAGTATGAACACCCTTTTGAATAATCTTTATGGTGATAACAAATATAAATTTTATGCTCTAAACTTTAGCACTTGGACTATTTTTAATGTCACACAATATATAAAATGATCTCTTTAACAGCTCAAAGGTCTTAGAAACAATTCTAAAATGATGAACAAAGGAAAGAGGTTCTGTGCGTCACTGTTTTTACAATGTTTCCTGCACTGCTTCTAAGCCTTTTCAGATTACCTTCATGTTTAGGGGTCGATGAGATTACTTGATGAGTTTCAAGTAAATAAAATCAAAGACTTCTCCTCAAGCTAACACCCAACCTCCATTTATACAAATTTGATTTTCTCTTTGCTATTAAGAAACTTGCTTTTAACATATACTCTTCGTCCCACTCTATTATTGTCAAAATACACTGACACACTTTATTAACTTTTTTCCTTTAAATTATCTGGTTTACATATTAAATCCTATAGCCTACATTTGATAAAGGCCAAACATAAAGGATTTACGTTGTTATTAGTTATCTAATTAGTAGCTCCTTTTCACAAATCATAGAATTTTAAAGCTGGAAGCAATCTCAGGCCATTGAATGCAATTTCCTCATTTTAAAGAAGAGGGAAAAAAGCACTCAATGTTAAATGACTTATATTCACAAAGTTTATTAGCAGTGATTTTAGTATTAGAACCCAAATCGAATGTCCTCGCTCTTAGTCTAGTGCTGTTTTCACTATAACTTCCTTTTCTAGAAGTAGGACTACCTATGCAATAACCTTTCTAAAAGGAAAGCCATATTTGGATTAAATTTAAAAGCTTTTGCACAGCAAAGACAACCCACAGAATGGGAGAAAATATTTGCAAACGAAGCAACTGACAAAGAATTAATCTCCAAAATATACACACAGCTCATGCAGCTCAGTATCAAAAAAAACAACCCAATCCAAAAATGGGCAGATCTAAATAGAGATTTCTCCAAAGAAGGCATACAGATGGCCAAAAAGCACATGAAAATATGCTCAACATCACTAATTATTAGAGAAATGCAAATCAAAACTACTATGAGATATCACCTCACACTGGTCAGAATGGCCATCATCAAAAAATCTCAAAGAGTAAATGCTACAGCTGTTGCTAGGAATGTAAACTGGTTCAGCTGCTATGCAGAACAGTATGGAGGTTCCTTAAAAATCTAAAAATAGAGTTACCATCTGATCCAGCAACACTACTCCTGGGCATATATATGGAGAAAACCATAATTTGAAAATACATGCACCCCGATGTTCATTCCAGCAGTATTTACAATAGCCAAGATATGGAAGCAACCTAAATGTCCATCAGTAGAGGAGTAGATAAAGAAGATGTGGTACATATATACAGTGGAATGTTACTCAGCCATAAAAAGGAACAAAATAATGTCATTTGCCACAACATGAATGGATCTGGAGATTATCATGTTAAGTGAAGTGAAGTCAGAGAAAGACAAATACCGTATGTCGCCGCTTACATGTAGACTCTAAAAAAAGTGGTACAAATGAACTTATTTAAAAAACAGAAATAGAGTCACAGATGTAGAAAACAAATCTATGGTTACTGGGGGGGGAAAAGGGGGGAGGGATAAACTGGGAGATTGGAATTGACATATACACACTACTATATACAAAATAGATAACTAATAAGGACCTACTGTATGGCATAGGGAACTCAATACTCTGTAATGACCTATATGGGAAAAGAATCCGAAAAAAAAGTGGATATATGTATAACAGATTCACTTTGCTGTACACTTGAAACTAATACAACATTGTAAATCAACTATATTCCAATAAAAAAAGGATACTTTTATTTAAATTCTCTTAAATTAAAAAATTGGGCTTTTATTTTTGGACACAATAGACATTTTATTGACTATGTAATGGTTGCTTTTACCTGAAGAGAAGACAAACATGCTCTCTCTTTTTTCTATTTCAAAACGTGAAGCCATCTCTTCCTGACTTGCCTCTTCTTCATCTCGACATTCCTGTAACTGCTTCATCTTTTCCATGAGGGCTTCGACCTCAAAGAAGGAATCACTTACCTGAAAAGAAAGTGCAATTAAGGTTACATATGTGAGACACGGAATGAAATTTTTGAATTTTATTAAGTCTGTTTCGTAAGAATTTGCATCTTAATACAGTATAAGAAAAGATCTTCCTATAATTTTAATGCACATGAATGAATCAAAAACAATTATTTGGGGCTTCCCTGGTGGTGCAGTGGTTGAGAGTCCACCTGCCAATGCAGGGGACATGGGTTCGTGCCCCCGTCTGGGAAGATCCCACATGCTGCGGAGCGGCTGGGCCCGTGAGCCATGGCCGCTGAGCCTGCGCGTCTGGAGCCAGTGCTCCGCAACGGGAGAGGCCACAACGGTGAGAGGCCCGCATACCTCAAAAACAAAAAAACAACAATTATTTGGCCTATTATATATACAGATATTTAAATTTTAAAATATAAGAGAAAAATGATTTTAAGAACACATTCTAATGTTTTACCTTTTATTACTAAAATTAGTAATAATATTACTATCAATGCTAAATTTTAAAAATTAAAATTTAACACTACTTGTCAATTTAAAACAGAACTGAATATTTAAGAGTTAAACTTTTACTTGCTCAATCAGTTAAATAAGGTACACAAAGTATAAGTGGTTTTGCATCAACTGTGTACACTGGGCATGTTGTCAATAGACAGGCATACCTCAGGTATATTGTGGGTTCAGTTCCACACCACTGCAACAAAGCGAGTCATGAATTGTTTGGTTTTCCAGTGCATATAAAAGTTATGTTTAGGGACTTCCCTGGCGGCACAGTGGTTAAAAATCTGCCTGCCAATGCAGGGGACATGGGTTCGAGCCCTGGTCTGGGAAGATCCCACATGCTGTGGAGCAACTAAGCCCGTGTGCCACAACAACTGAGCCTCTGCTCTAGAGCCCACGAGCCACAACTACTGAAGCACGCGCGCCTAAAGCCTGTGTTCCGCAACAAGAGAAGCCACCTCAACGAGAAGCCCGCGCACTGCAACCAAGAGTAGCCCCTGCTCACTGCAACTAGAGAAAGCCCACGCGCAGCAACGAAGACCCAGTGCAGCCAAAAATACACTATACTGCACTGTACATTATACTGTATACTGTACTGTACTATACTGTGCACTATACTGTTTATACTGTAGTCTATTAAGTGTGCAATAGCACTATGTCTAAAAAAACAAGGTACATACCTTAATTTAAAAATATTTATTGCTAAAAAATGCTCAACACCTGGGAACAGGGAGCTTATCTACTAGGGAAGTTTTTAAAAATTCTATTATTTCACTATTATCTCATTTAATAGAGGGATAAGTAGGAATAGTACTTTTTCTTTAGCCTTGTACTAAATCAAAGGTGGGGAAGGACAACAATCCAACTCTAAGCATCCTAGCAACTGGTGTACTCTCCCTTAGACCATCTCATAACCTTTAAGCTTTGATAAGTAATCAGTGGCCATATGCAGGCCTCTAACAACAATCCAGATAGCTCAACAGAGGGTGGAACTGATGGTCTTGGGCCTTACCAGCACAGCAGTGATCAACCTTGGGAACATGATTTTCCCTCCTGTGCTAATCTCACCATATGTAAATGCTACCTCTTATTTGGTACCTGATAAATGCCAAGCACTGTACTAGGCCTTTTACCTCTTTAGAGGCATTTCATTTAAACTTTACACTAACCTTGTGTTTGACCTTTATTTAGAAATGAAAGAATGGAGGCTCAGAGAGGTTAGATAACGCCCACAGTCAAATATAAGTTAACAGTCAAATACACGTTAAAGTCAAATATATAAATTCAACCTGTCCAAATCTGTTTAAAATAATACAACTGAGAAAATCTGTGCAAAGTATTCAGAAGGCTGTAATGTTGTTTCTGTGATTTCAATTTGGAAATATAAACCCTTTTCTCTTTCACTACAGCTAAAGAATGCAGAGGGAATTTTGACTCATCATATATAGAATTCAAATTTGCTTATACAAAATTCAACTCATTCTGATCTGTTTCAAAGGAATAACATAACTGAAAAAATATAAAAGCCAGAGAAGAGAAGGAATAGAGGTAAAAGCATTTTAATAAATTTACATTCACTTTTATATATATCTGTGAGAAGTTAAAACATGAAGAAGTATTTTAAAAGGAGAAATTCCAGATCAAGGCTGATTAAATCTTCTAAAAAATAATTAAGAAGACAGCCTGTTTCTTCTGTGCAAAAGGATGTGATCAGCATCAGGAAGTTTCTACCACCAAGTTCCACTGTTCTCAGTCTCCCCTCATCTCACTCAGTAGCCGTTCAATACCAGATGGCTCTGATGGGGCACATTGCTGGTGGCTTCTGATCCTAAAATTATTCAACTGTAACCTCCTAGAGGGTCTTATAATTTTGTATGTTCCTTAGCATCAGACTAGTGCTGAGCATTTGGAGGCAGTCAATAAATACTTGCTGAATGAACAGGTATGGGGGCCTAATATCTTTTTGGACTTAACAGGGTAGATTTTCTTAAAAGCCAAATGAAAAAATAATATAACAGCAATTACTGTGATTACTCTTAGGATGATCCTATAATAAATAATAGATACTTACTGAAACATTCCCTGCTGAGTTGACCTGCATCTCATCCACACTGTGATTGCCATTTGTAATGTCACAGATGCAGTAGTTACTAACAGAAGGAGGTCTGAATGTGTGGCCACCATCACAATGAATTTCTGGACTGATTCCACAGCCAAATGTGAACGAGGCAAGAGAATGATAGTGTGTAAGTAGAACTACTGCATGTACCAGTTCTGCAAGGGACCAGCTGTGCTCTTCAGCTTTTAAAAGTCCCTTGGGAAAAAAAACGAGAACATTTTTATACTGGGGTATGGTATTGATGAAAGAATACAGTTCATCTTGGTATTTAACCTATTGAAAACAGGATTAGTTACTATATAAAACTTAGGATAAAATTACAATTTGAGGCACGTAGAACCCAGAATTTGCTAATGTAATTTTTATAAATATGTATTCACAAATAGAGCTTAAGATAAACTGATAACGACACATTCGTTATTATTTTGACTTTCTGAAATTCTGATTTAAAAATGATTTAAAATTTCTGATTTAAAATTTTGTTTAAAAGCAGTTGCCGTATCTCAGATGATGGATTATGAATGCATTAACTATGTTGTTAGTGCAGTCTCAAACCAAATGTAATGAATTTGTGTTTAAAGTAGAAGCTACTGTGTAAAATATGCCTGTTTTTCTTTATTATCAGGCCTCCTCAAGGCACTTTTAAAAACTGGTTTGAACAACTGGACTCTGAATATTCTTAAATCATCAAATTATATTTATTTTAAAAATTATGCTCAAGGTAAAGTCTACAGTTCTTCAAAGTCTTACAAATCTGTGTCCATTCTGCTTCATTATCTATTTTATAATATGTAATTTTATATTACTAGACAATATAACAGACATTGCATTAATTATATTCAAATCTTCTATCTCCTTGATAAAAAGATGCTTCAATTACATAAAAGAATCTAAAATATTCTAGGGAATTCCCTGGAGGTTCAGTGGTTAGGTCTCTGCACTTCCACTGAAGGGGGCATGGGTTCCATCCCTGGTCAGGAAACTAAGATCCCACAAGCCTTGAGGCATGGCCAATAAATAAATAAATAAATATTCTAAAAAAAGAGAAAGACAACACCAAAAATATATTGTATTTTTAAGAATTTCTACTGCATGGTAGATTCTTTTAGAGAATGTCCATCTACTTTTATTCTATTATCTTTATTAATAGAACCAGATGAAACTAGTTTAAAATGGTATTTTAAAAAGATAACACAACAAGATGCCACTTTACATCTATCAGAATGGCTAAAATCCAGAACACTGGTAACAACAAATGCTGACAAGGATGTGGAGCAACAGGAATGCTCATCCATTGCTCATGGGAACACAAACTGGTATAGCCACTTTGGATGACAGCTTCTTACAAAGCTAAACACAAGCTTATCATACGATCCAGCAATCACACTCCTAGTTATTTACCCAACTGAGTTGAAAACTTACGTCCACCAAAAAGCCTGCATGTGAATGTTTGTAGAAGCTTTATTCATAATTGCCAAAAACTGGAAGCAACCAAGATGTCCTTCAATAGATGAATGGATAAACTGAGGTACATCCATACATGTATTTTTCAGCAATAAAAAATGAGCTGCCAAGCCATGAAAAGCCATGGAGAAACCTTAAATGCATACTGACAAATAAGCTAGTCTGAAAGGGCTATATACTGTGTGATGCCAACTATATGACAGTCTGGAAAAGGTAAAACCATAAAGACTGTAAAAAAGAACAGTAGTTTCAGGGGGAAGGGGAGAGAGATGAATAGAGGGAACATAGGAGATTTTGAGAGAAGTTAAACTATTCTGTATGATACCATAATGGTTGATAACACGACATTATGCAGTTGTCAAAACCCATAGAACTGTACAACACAAAGAGTGAACCCCAATGGAAATTAGACATTATTAATTCATCAGTTACAGCAAATGTACTATACTAATACTAGATGTTAGTAATAGAGAGAAACTATGTGTGTGTGGGGGGCGGGTGGTGGATGGTTGATGGGGGTAGAATATGGGAACTCTATTTTCTGTGCCATTTTTCTGTAAACCTAAAACTGCTCTAAAAATTGGTCTAATTTTTTTTTTTAATGACACCCTAGATATATTCTCTACTTACCTCAATATGTTCTTTGGTAATAAGCCAAGGTCTATGGGCTAACACTTTGTTAAGTTCTCCTAAATTCTGTAGTTTTTGAGGAGCATTCTCTAAACCATTAAGCCACTTGGGGTCTCCACCAACATGAAGGAAATCGTTTACATGGAGATTCACTAAGTAGGAGCACTGATGTCTTGCTGCAGCCTTAAGAGAAAACAAAAAGATTATTCTAATTACACATATTAAAATCTTGAACAACTACAAATCTTTTTCTTTACAATATGCAAGAGAGCTAATTAAGTTTTTGATTAGTATGTTTTCAAATTTTCCATATACTACAGAAATGAAGTTTTCATATAAACATTTAAAAATTCATACACTATAGAAAGCACCTCAAAAATATCCCAAGAACAAATAAAATATCTGATCAAAGTATCTGAACTTTAGAAAAATTTTATACCTACTGTCAGAACCTCAGATTAAGAAGAAACTTCAATTAAGGTGCCAATCATAAAACAATGGAATATTATTTATAAATTGAACATGAGTACCACCAATTATGTCAATCTGAACTATCAGTGAACTAATCTTGTGTTCTACTTTATTCTCGTATTTAATAGAAAATGGTTCTCAACAGAGTGTAAATACATATTTCTTTTTCTGTTATATTTGACAGCATACTTATTTAGAAAGAGGAAAAATAGATACTACCTAACAGGAATCCAATTAGAAGTTAGAATATAAGTATTTATTCCTGTGTTTGAAGCATTAACCATCTCTTAAAAAGATTAATAAAGCAGGCAGAAAGAATTTTTCACTGAATGTTTACAAACCATTATTCCAATGTAGTGCCGATAATGTAGGGGTAATGGTCCATCCATTTGCAGTAGATAGTGTTGCGTTTTTAAGAAACTTTCTAAATATTGTGGGTGAAAAACCATCACTAAGGTAATATTATCCAAACGACCCAAAGCAGCAAAAGAATCTGCAAATAAAGTATGCATCTGTGTGTCTTCACTCCCCACTTGGAGAATCTGCATGAAAGAGAGGAAAACCATGTTTTCAGAAATTGTAAATTGGTGTAAAAGAAAGAAAATATGCAGGGGAAGGGAAAAAAAAAGGAATATGCATGCACTGCACTCTAAGTGTCACCTAGAAGCAGATTAAATTTGGCTTAAGAAAGAGAGGTTATAATTCTACAAATTTAACTCAACTGATTGCAAGATAGCAGAATAAAGAGTCACATATCATGTAGTAGGGGAAAAACAACAAAGGCCGAACATTAAAGGCCATCTAGATAGGCTGCTTGCAGACTTGACCAGAATCCAGACATCCAGATCTAAATCCAGAATCCAGATTTAGATTATCAAATTTGCAGAGCTTGCAAACAGACACTAATGCCTTTCCTTTTAACAACACCTACTCTCCCTCAATTTACAGAGAACCAAAAATTAACTAACAGTAAACAATCCCTGTGAAAACAAAGTATAGGAGCATTTACATATTTAGAATTAAAGATCCAATCTAGCATTGATACCAGCCTGTGGAGCTGGCCAAGACCAAGTAACTCGGCTTATGGGCACACCTAAACAACATCTAAATATAAGCAGGTGGCATATCACTGGTCAGAAACAAGCCTTGCCTTTGCTTGATTAAATATGGGTGTTAGAAAAGCATCATGAAATACTAGAAATCAACATGACTATAACAGCTTTTTAATCCCACATATTCACTGCCAAAACATGATGATTAACTTGTGTAAAGCATATTGTTGACCAACAGTTGTTCAGATGCGAAGATGTGGGTCATGAAAGCTTTTCCTTAAAAGCATACAGTTCACTATGTACTTTCACAAACAACATACCTCCTTTTCTGGGATGAATCTGCTTGGTCCGTGTCCTAGTGGTCGAGGAATTCTAATTCCAAGTTCCTAGAAAAGAAAACTACACCATCTCAGGCCTCCAGCAGTAAACAACATGAACTGAGGCCACAGGAATGGGAGAGAAAAACAGCCAGTTGAACAGAGACTGGCTTGTTCTGGTGATTTATTTTCATGGCCATATATATATACCAGATCCTCTGTTTGCATCACATGGCTGACAACAGTTTATAATACAACTCTGACTAAAAACAATAAAACCTGTTTCACTAAAACCAGAGTTTTGCATAAAGTACTTGGCAGAAAGTCTAGAACAGAAAGTTCAGCACATAGCAGCCAACCCTGTGGATTGTCAGCGATACAAAATAAGACCAATGTGTTTGTACATCCAAAACCCAACCAACCAAAATATCAATTCCTGTGCACCTTGTCAGGAAATGAAAAAGCCATAACCTCTACCTAGATGTCTTACACCAAAAGAAGTATAATTATTACTACATCTATAATAACACTTCACAAGAACAGAAATACTATGAAAAATAAAAAAGCTATTTAAATCCACAAAAGAGAAAGTAGTACAGGGCATGGTTTCTCTGTGGTTGAGTAAAACAATTTTAAATTACTTTTGTTTGTGTGTTTTCCTTAAATTTTTAATTTACAGGATCTCATCAACTTTGCTTATATTTTAGAGGAGCTCAACTAATTAAAAAATAAATGGTTTTCTGCCTTTTGACATAGTGAACCTAGAATTCTATACTTTATGTGACAGTGTAGTGTGGTTAACAAAAACTGACAGTCTACTGTTAGGCTTCCATCTTTTCCCTCAATACAGTGTGCTAATAGAAATAAAACCAAAATGTGATTCAGACTTTTTTTTTTCTTTTTGAGGCTCATGTCCTATCACTCTAGTCTCTAAACAAAAAACCCCCTCCTTCTTTAACAACTAAATATTAACCCTTGCTTACATAATTACATACAAATATTATTTCTACCCTCTCTCTACAGCTTCCAAAAGTCCTTCATGATATAAACCAGATGCTTTCCTTTTAAAGGAAAAAAAGGGGGGAGGGGGCAGTCAGAGAAGAACATGTGGCAACAATTCAAGAAATCTGGTCCAAGTGAATGAAAACCTTTTGAGCAGAATGGATTTTTAAAAATTAAGCAGGCAAGACAAAATTGAAGAGAATCTTAATTAGGAGAACTCAAGATTCAGATTCAAAGTAGGCTGGATTTGCCAACTAAATCTAAAATTTTATATATGTTTCAAATAATCTTGTATTGGAGGTCAGTGATTTCTTACTCTGATAATTCCACACTTATACTGAAAATAGTAATGTCTAATAACCATGCCCCTCATTAGAGGAGGCACTAAATTCACTGGCCCGGCCATGTATGTGTCTCAATTTTAATATCCTGTAATAAATGCAAGGAAAAAACCCACATTCCTGCTATTCAATAAATCATTTTGGGACAAATGCAGCCATTTATATAAAATGATGACTCTATTGGCATTTCTAACTGATTTAATTACATACATTTCTAACAAAATATATTGGGCAAGACTTTAAGGCTAAAACTCAATACCCCTTCTCAGTTCTTTACCATCTTATTTAAACAAAATGCATTTTAGCAAACACCCCATTTCAGGGGTTTATTATTCATTTTCTACCTAAGAGACACTATTCTTGTGACTTTAGTATACAAAAGGTGGCATTTCAAAGGAGGAGAAATGGATTATTCAACAAATGATTTTGGTACAACTGGAGAGCCACTCAGAAAAAAGTGAAATTGGAGGCTTAAATCATACTTGACTCCACAATAAGTCAGATATAAGTGTAAAAAACAAAAATAAAAAACATTACAGTATTAGAAGAAAATACCTGTGGACTTAGGTCTAAGAATGCCACAAAACCAGGAAATCATAAAATATAAGATTGATAAATTTGATGACATAAAAATAAAGACTTTCACATAGGAAAAATAAACATATAAAGTCAAAAGCAAACAGAAAACTTGGACATATATTTGCAACTCATATAGCAAAGGGCTAAATTTTTTTAATACATAAAGACAAATCGCTAAGAAAACCCCCAACAACCTCACAGAAAAATGAACGAAGGACATGGACAGTTCAAAGAAAATGAAATATAAATGGCTGAAAAAATGATCAACCCTCACAATAAAACAACTGCCATTTTAGTACACTAAGATACAATTTTTCACCTAAAATACTGCTTAAGATCAAAAAATTTGATGATAGGCTGTGTTGGAAAGGGGGTGGAGAAATAGCCATTCATTGCTTATACTTTCTGATGGTAGTGTTTTGAAGTGTGAGGAAAAAATATCAAGAAACATAAAAGGAGTATAAATTACTACAACCTCTAGGAGGGCAATTTGAAATACTGATCAATGTTTAAAAGTTACATACCCTAATCAATAATTCCATCCTAAACATTACCCTATACTCACATTTCTAAAATGTCATGTGTAAAAGTATAATCACTGCAACATTGTTTCTAGTAGTAGAAGATATAAAGCAACCTAAGTGCTCATCAATAGAGTACTGTTTCAATAACGTTTAGTATGATCATAGACTAGAATAGCATGAAGTCCTCACAAAGAATGAAGCAGTTCTATACAAGTTGGCTTTAAAAGATCTCCAAGATATATTATGTGGGGGGAAAAAGACAAAGTGTATAATATGTATATATTATGTTACTATTTGTAAGGAAAGGGAAAAAAAATTACCAATTCCATTTCTAGGACTTTATCCTACAAATACATTAGCAGCATGTGGATTGTGTGTGTGTTTATTTTTTTAAAAATAAGACCAGATTCCTAGCACATGGGCCTCAAAACAAAGAGGTTGAAGTATATTGTTTTGGTTTTATTTCTATACCAAATAGTTTATATATCAAACTGTTACAAAACAATAGCTTTACAGTTCCAAGAAAGTGACTATTAATGTTTCAGAAATTGAATATTTTCCTATAGGCATGCCAAAGGTCTTTCCCAATGGTCCTTTCTAATTCTCAAGTCTTTGAAAGTCTATCCCTGTAGCCAAATTTAGTGGCCATACTGGTATCACTGTCTCCCCTCTTCCTTGCCTTCAAAGGTCAAATCTTTCCCACTTCCTTTAGAAATAGATTCTTTTATGTATTTTATGAAAAATTATGTGTTTTAAAACAGGATGTTAAGAAAAAGCAAACATTCTCAGGAATGGACTATAAACCTATTATGCTAAGAACCTCTTACTGTTAAGATCACATTCATTCCTTGGTGAGGTACCAGTCTAACAAAGCAGGGGACAGAATAGAAGAACTGAAGAAAGGAAAGGAATGGAAAGGAGTCTCTGATATTTAAGACTCCAATTTCATTATTTTACTTATGGCTAGTTCTAGGTAAAATAGAATTTTATGAACTCTGAAACTGCATCCCAATTTATCCTAATCCAGATACTGTCAGGAAGCAGGTCATTGATTCCATCTAGCCTTCCACTGCACACAAACTGAGCTCTAACTTATGGGAAAAGGAAACAGGTGACAATTATCTTGAAAACAGCCAGGAAGTCTGGTTCTAGAGTTGGTGTCTTTAATTAATTACTCTCAAAAGCACCTCTTTAAGAGCTTTTGAGGGACTTCCCTGGTGGCGCAGTGGTTAAGAATCTGCCTCCCAATGCAGGGGACATGGGTTCGAGCCCGGTCTGGGACAATCCCACATGCCGCGGAGCAACTAAGCCCATGCGCCACAAGTACTCAGCCTGCACTCTAGAGCCTGCAAGCCACAACTACTGAGCCCGCGTGCCACAACTACTGAAGCCCGTGCACCTAGAGCCCGTGCTCTGCAATGAGAAGCCACCAGAATGAGAAGCCCACGCACCGCAACCAAGAGTAGCCACCACTCTCCGCAACCAGAGAAAGCCCGCGCACAGCAACGAAGACCCAACGCAGCCAAAAATGAATAAGTAAATAAATTTTTTTAAAAAGAGCTTTTGATACTTAAAGGTCTTTTTAGATACCATTATTATTGTACAATAGTATTCTTGATTTCTAAAGGGGTAAAAGTTTCAACTTTCTGGAAAACTCACTTTTGAAACACTTCCTAGTCACATGACAAATTAGTTGCTACCCTATTTTCTAGCAGGTATTGATTAAAAAAAAAAAAAAAAGGCACTGCAGGTCTTCAATGGTGTGATCGTAAGCCAAACTAAGTGCACTTCATAATGTCCTAAAGGTTCCTTCAATTGTGCCTTCATATGTACCTGTAAGAAACTGAATTACAGACTCTGAACAAATTTTGGCCAATCTAGATTCAAGGAGACAGAACTTGCCAATGGCAAATGGCCTTGTTGTGAAGCAGATGTAAATGCTAACCCACAAATCTCACAGGCTCTTGGTGAAGGTGTGGCTGGGAAATCTAACGTGGGAACTAACAATTTTCTCCTCTCAACAATCCTCCTAGTCAGCATCTTTGAAGACATAGCAACAGCCTCTGCCATCACAACATTGCTGCAAATCTCTGACGCGGTATCTGTTTCCTCTCCAGTGTATACTAACACACTAATTTTCACAGTATGAAAATTCTCAGCAAATGTTGACAGTACCACAGAATGACTAATGTATGTAATATATCACTATGAATCTGTGTTTATGAATTTACTGTTCTAATCAGATTTTTCAAATTTGTCAGATACATTTATGAATCCATATGAATATCTTTTTTTTTTAACATCTTTATTGGGGTATAATTGCTTTACAATGGTGTGTTAGTTTCTGCTTTATAACAGAGTGAATCAGTTCCATATGAATATCTTTAACCAAAAAAATGAACAGTTTGCCGCAAGTGCAAAATGAGAGCGTTTGTTGGCTTACAGTGTCTATCTACATGCAAAACTAGTTGAAAAGTAAAAATAATTAGATCACTTGAATCATTTTTTTTCTCACTGCACTTGGTACATTATTAAACTGTCTAGATGTCTTAATACTGATAATCACAATAATATTAATTTTTAAAAAAATTACAAAAGCAGTTCTGTTTGAAACACATTTCAA